TTACATATTGACTATCTCAAGTTTTGCCCAGGCAGGTGTCATTTCAACCAGTCAATTCTTATACTGAATAAATTTGACGAATTTTTTCCTGTTATCAAAAGTAACAAAAAATAGGCAATTTTTGTCATCTTGTACTTAAATAATTGGACTGGTAAGTGCTTAAAGAAGATAAGCCATTATTACCATGCACCCCTCCAGAGCACCGCAGAGCTTGGCGGTGTTCTCTCTCTTCAAGTGATGCACCTCCCACCCCAGCTCAGCTCTGCTTAGAAACCACAGCACATGAGATTCATAAATGTCAAAAAGCCCTGTTATGGTGCCAGAGGAAGCCCCACAACGCTTTTGAGGTAAATTACTCTCCACACATTTAAAAGAACACCCGTCATCTACTGAAAACTGATAATGTCACAAAGCATGAGTGTTTGCCTGTATTTCCCCAGGCCAAGTAAGGGCATATTTTCTTGATGAGTGGATGAGTGATATGGTCCATCTTAAACAGAAATAAATATGAATATAGACAACACACAGCAATCTGCTGGGCTGTGCCAATGACAAACAGCCAAACTAAAGGCACAAAGAATCTAGGGCACCAGCCGCAGGGGATTCAGTCACTACCTCAGCACATCAGCTAACTGACAACACCACAGGCCAGGGCAGGGTCTCCCCCAAGTGCAGAAAGTAAACTTTTAGCTCAGCCAAGGCAAAGCTCTTGGCTCACCCACTTGAGCGTGGTAGCTTGTCAAATGAGATCAAATGCCAACTATGTGGGACTCCTCAGTGGGTCTGAGACACCATTCCTTGGAGCTCACCGTCAGATATTCAAGACAGAGGCTGAAAATAATCACCATTCCTATGAAGGGAGTAGTGAAAGGAAAGTGGGAGAGCCCAGTGAGACCCTGGCCTTTGAGGTGCACATTCACACACTATCTTCATGGCAAATAGTGAGAATCCCACAGGTAGGCCCATTATACCTCACAAACCCTGAGTGAACAAGAGCTTAAGCTATCACACTCACAGAAGTCTACCCCTGCAGATTTATCCATGTAGTCTAGTACTTACACAGTGCCACGGTCTGAAGTAGTGTCCCTTTAAAATCCCTATGCTGAAATCTAACCCTAAGGGAGTAGCACTATAAGCTGGGGCCTTGGGGAAGTGATTAGGTCACAAGGTTAGACTCCTCCTTGTGGGATCAAGGAGGCTCCAGAGAGCCTGTCTTCCCTTCTACCATGTGCGGATGCAGCCCGGAAGTGCCGTACTGGAAACAGAAGGTCCTCGGGAAAATGAGCACCTTGATTGTGAACTTCTAGAGCCCAGAACTGTGAGCTGTAAGTTTCAGTCTTCATAAATAAATGTTCCAGTACTTTATTATAGCACCAGGCACAGATGAGCATTCAGCATAGGGCCTCCATGAGCGCTCACCTCTATCTCTATCTCCATCTAAAGGGGGCATCAGCCGACAGGCGCAGAAGAGGTAGGGGAGGAGCCCCATCTATCACCTCCGATGCTGTCCTTTCCTCAAAAGCAGAAATCACGTCTAACTCAAGCTTCTGCATGCCCATGCAGTCAGCATGGAACAAAGTCTTATGGGAGCCTAGGTGCATGTGAAAAGTAAAAGTTTTCTAAGGCAACATCCACCAGCCTTTTAAATTTTTATTTGAAAATAAAAATACTTTCCATTAATGAACTTAGCACAAGATAAGCAATTTATATACATTATCCTATTCAGTTCTTTAACAGGAAAGCATAACATTCAAAAGGATAAAATCTCTTCTGCTATGAAATGGGAACAGAGAGGAAAGGAAACAGGAAAATTACAAGATGTCACAATAACTAGCATTGCACCATTTCCCAAAATAAAACAACTGCTCTTGAAAATATGAGAAAAACTGGTTAGCTAAGCTCTAAAGAATTGTCTTCCCCACGTCGTAAAACTATGGTTTTATGTTTTAAGTTATAAGTAAAAAAATTTAAGATTCTGAAATTATATTTTGCATTTGCAATCTAAACATCTGTAACAATTTAAAACAAATTTGGGAACCAAACTGAAAAAAAGAAATCTCAGATCGAGTTCCAATCTGCCAAGTTTCAATCTAGACCAAATTTTATGGGTCTGTCATAAACCCAGAAAGAATTAAAAAGTCAAAGAAAAAAATGGGAATTTATAATGGAAATGCTGACAGACCATTTTCCAAATGCAGAAACATACACACAATTATAATTGACCTTAACATGACCATCTTAAATTCATGTATAACAAATTCAAAAAGTAATGAAAAGAAAGCTTTTTTCCAATTCACAGTACTTAGGAGACAAGAAGCAGAAAGTGTCAAAAAATATAGCAAGAAATACATGTTGGTGCAACTTTTGAAACATCAAAGGACATCACACACTAGGTTCTTTTACCTTCATGACTGACAAACTTTAACTCAAGAACGAGTTATTTCAGTATTTTGTAAATTCAATTCTCAAAATGTGTACCAGAGAGGTACCTGAATATTAGCAGTATTTATCTTTAGGTAAATTTCCAAATATTGCATTTTAATAGTAACACATTATTACTTTTAAATCCTACTTGTCAGACTTTGCCCATTCTTCCAAAAAACTATCTGCTCTCTAGATCCACATCTTTCGGGAGTTTCGGTGCTGGGACCTAACACTGGCACTGAACATGCTAAGTGCACACTCAGCCCTGGGCCACACCCAGACCCCCACTTAGGTCTCCTGGGAAGAGTCATAACCTTAGGCACAGTTCAGAGTGAGCAGACTCCAGGTTCTAGGCATACAGAGGCCAGACACTAAGACAGCTGAAGTCTTAATCTGTAATCATGCGTTGTAAAGATGAGCACTTGTACTCCAAAGTTTCACTAAACAATTTAACAAATCAGACTTACACTTTAACATTTTTGCATCCAAATATTAGCTATCCATACCTCATTGAATTGCACTTAAATTGACAGGTCATAATATCTAAAATATAAGATGCTTTAGATTAATAATCATTGTAAAAGTTAATTTAATACAGAATTCACTAAAGGTCCAGAAATATATAGTCTATAATCTGTCTTAAACTCAACCCATTCCTTATAGCTTGCACTGTGAAACTGCCTACACACGATCATGGTCCTGAAGCCAAGAGCCTATCCTTGCCACAAATCATCAAACTGATTCAGCTTGTTCACAGCTTCTCCCCATCACAACTGCACTAATGTCACTAACGTGTACTCTTACTTTGGTTTTAAGTTTGCTATTTTAAGACTTGTAAAGAAGTTACAAAATTCTTCAAAGGCCTCTCTCATTCATCCGGGGGGCCATAGCACAGCGTTTAAAATCGTTTATTCTGTTTGTATGAAGTAAGATTCTGTACAAAGAAAGATGTAGAAATATAATATTCTCTTTAACAACATTCTCCAAGCTATTCTTTGCCATGGTGTTCTACAAGCCAGTAAAACTTCTGTCGAAATTGGAGACATCCTGATAATGAACTGCTGAGGGCAGAAGGTTAAATAGTGCTGCCAAGGTAAGAAGCCTGTACCAGCCTCTAAAGGTCTCCTTCCTGCTGAGACCAGGAATGCCCAGGGAGTGACCGGGGAGCAAGGCTCCTCCTCTGGGTGCCCTCTGGCCAATGCTCTGCCCACTGCCCATTGCAAAGCCCCTGGATTTGTCTTCTGCACAGCCCCTAGGTTGACCAGTGTGTACCATCTTCCTAGACCAGGAGCCACTAATCTCAATGGCCTCTCCCACTACACCCTCCACAGTCTCCCCAGCTCTCCCACTCCAGCAAAGGAACAACAACAAAATCCACGAGGTAGCTCAACACAAAGGATCTGCTTATTCCCTTAGACTTAATCACAAAACTCCACACGTTATGAGATACGCTGCTCTGCTCAAATTTTGCAAAACTTTTCAAAAATTTAAAGAGAACCTAGAAAACTGTAGACAGAATCTCCTCACACATGGATGACTTCTCAGAAAACAAAATGGTGCCCTAAAGCAGATATCAGAAGACATTTTAAATCAAACACTTAACCTGGAGAGCCTTCCAACCATATCAAAATCATAGCTTTAATCAAAAAAATAGAATAAAAAACCAAAAAAGTTTCATTTCTAAGTCTTAGATGCTCTGTTAGGTAACAAAATCCTCTGGCCCTTAATGGCCATGAGATCCTCATAATCCTATCCTTTATCACACAGCAGTGGACATCTTCAAACCACACCTCTGTGAAGGGGGACAGCTGCGCCCAATACCCTCTGCCCAGAAGCGAAGCTGTTAGGTCACCCGTGGTCCATGTCTGAGGCATGTGTGTGTAACTGCCTTCCCTCTGCCATGGCCTCACCAGGCGAGGGGAAGGCATCACTAGAAAAGACTCAAAGTGAACCTACAAGATAATCAAAGACAAAAGCACAAAAACATATGTGCAATATGATATGAAAATATCTTCTACAGTTAGACAGCAAGAATTAGGGTAGTTTAACGATCAATAAAAGCATTTATTTTCTAGCAGTCGTAAATTGCATTGTAATAATTTATATCCGTTGGGGCTGGGGATTTAGCTTAGCGGCAAAAGCGCCTGCCTGGCAAGCGCAAGGTCGTGAGTTCGGTTCCTGGTACCAGAGAAAACCCAAGATAATAATAATAATAATAATAATAATAATTTATATCCGTTAAACCAGGAGTTCCCCACCCGCACAGACAGAGGCGAGTGGTGCGCTAGCAAGGCAGCTTCATCTGTGCTCATAGTGGCCTCCATGGCTCACATCACCTCCTGTCAGATCAGCAGTAGATCAGATTCCCAGAAGTGCAAACCCAACTGCGAACTGCACATATGAGGGATGTCGGATGCCTACTCTTGGAATAATTCCAAAGCTCTCTCTTCAACACACCCTATCCCTGTCTGTGGAAAACTTGTTTTCCACAAAACAGATCCCTGTGCCAAAAGGGCTGTAGACCACTATTCTAAACACTTCAAGCTCATAATTTTATAAATAATCCAAAAACTTACCGTATTTTGACAAATTTGATGGACAGGCCGTGAGTGGGCTTCTGCTACCACTGCAGCACTGCAGCCAGCATTGAAGTCAAAAATTTCCAAAGTCCTGTCCCGGCCAGCTGTGAGTACAATGTCTGCAAACGATCCAGTTAGGGAACTCTTCCCATGATCTTTCCCCATGAGAAACCCGACAGATCCATTTATTATACTAAGAAGCCCTGGAACATTACAGGACTCAGAAATGAGTGATTAGCGGAGAATTTCTGATGTTACACGGGAACAGTCCAGTCCCAGCCTGGATCCGCCCATCTGGCTCCCACGTATCTGGCAAGAGCAGGTAGCGTGGTGATGGAAGCTGGGGATCCCAGTGCTGAACAACCAAGGTGGGACATCAGAGTGAGAGACACCTGCAGAATCAAGATCCCGACTAGCTATTAAAAATGTAGACTGTTGGAGATAAAGATGAGATTAATGAAGCCACAGAGGGGATGATCTATCTCGGAGCTGCATGAAGTGACATAAAGGGACGTATCTTCAGGAAATTACAATATACTTCGTAAGTCTGATGCATGAGGGAAAATTTATAAACTCAGGGGACATGTGGTCACCCAAAGTACCAGCAGCCAGGGTTCAGCCCTGTACACTGTGCAGAAGTGCACATCCAGGAGGGCAGAGCTCCAGATCCCAAAGTAAGTACCGTGCCAACACCAGAACATGTGGGAATGGTAGCTCAAGTTTGAATAAACTTCTGTCAAGCGGATTTTTCTTTTTAAATGATTCCAACTGAAAGTTGCACGTTTCTAACTAAAATGTACAGCACCTTATAATACTTTATTTCTGTCCTTCAAAATTTCAACTATAACTCAATAGAATTCAAGGTAGACCTGTGTTTGAATAAATTAAAATTTTATGAAACAAATTTTTTTAAAACAAAGTGATTATGTTGGCCATACAAATGAAAACATTCAAGTTTTGGACTCAGCTGCATATTCTATTGAATAGCAACTGCTATCATTTTTTTCAGTCCTCCATAAGATGGAATAACCGCTGAAGTAACCAAAATAAGTACTCACAGGTTGGTAAGAAAATGCACTAAATTACTCTGTATTTTCAGTAAAACATAGATGTGTCTGGCCAGCTCACCCTGGGGTAAGTAAGATGTCATAACTAGGTTTGTCTTCCCTTCTCACCATTAAGGTGATGTTCTTAAATGTGCAATGGCTGCAAAAGGCCATGGGCTCCACGTTCCCAGCACCCACCACAATTTAAGACTGATCTGACACTGAGTGACACTTTGCTAGAAGAATCACCCTCAATAAGTGACATACTGGAAGGATCGGGGAGCAAGGATACAGGAATAGAAGTCGTTCACTGCCGATAAACTGGTCACATCAGCTGTGTTTGACAGAGAGGCCCTGTAAATGAGCTTATAACTGCTCTTCAGTTTATACCTGTAAGAGAAATACAGATGAACCAATCTTCTTGCCTCTTGCTCTCTTCTACTACAGCCCAACATCCTACCTTTTAAAAACTTGAAAGTGAAAATAAGCTTTCCCATTAGTCTAGTAAGTCATATTGTATAATATGGTACTGACGGAATGAGTGGATTGGACACCTTACTTTTCCTTTAGGAAAAAACGTTAGTTTCCATTAAGAAACTCTTGTTTTACCTTTAAAGAAACTTTATGAGAATAATATTATACAGCCAAAAATGACTCACTCCCAACTATGACAAAGCAAATTTGTTCCCTAATTCTAAAATAATTATGTATATTTGAGAATATACCCAACCAGTTACAAATTTCCAGTTATGAAACATAATGGCTGTTTTCTGAAGGATAACATAAGCAGGGGGCAATGTTTATTGAATGTGTGGTTTTAATCCCTAGATATAATTTCCCAAAGGAAAGTAACTGGCTGGCAATTCCAGGAAGTAGTCTTGTTCAGTGGAGGAGAGTAGAGGACCCAAAGGCCAGGATGTCACAGAAGGACCCAGAGCAGCAGCACGGAGAAGCCAGGCCAGAGCACCAGGCATCGTGCTGCCCAGGAGCAGTACCCTGTACACTCAGGAACACAGGAAAGCTGTGAAGGGAATATGGAGGAAAGTTGTCCGTGGACAAGCCCCAGATCAACAGAGTCCTAGGACGGACAGGGTTCCCAAGAGCCCAGAAGGGAAGGCCACATAAACAAGGAGTCCTCAAGGGAAGCTTGGGATAAGTGTCCAGGGACAGGATATAGTTACACAAATTAGCACAGTGAAAAACTGCTTAAAGTTATATATAAAGGTGGCTAATACAGCAGAAGGCAGGTATTAAATTTGGAAAAGTGTATAAAAACCAGGGATTGCTCAGTCGAGGAAAGTGTCTTTCAGAAAGACAGCCAGAAGGAACAGGAGATGTGCAAGTCACAGCCCAGGAATTCCTGTAGGAAGGCTGGACAGGAGAAGGCCCAGGAGGTGTAAACCAACATGGTCATTTTTCTGGATAATCTTTAAAAGATAGAAATATAACATTCTTAATCCCAGATCAATGTTTTCTAATTCTCTGTGCCCCTACTGGGTTGCAGTTTTTGATTACTACTGTAAGCCTCAGGGGAAACAGAGATAAGCAGTGTCAGCTCAGCTCACATCATTGATAAAACTTGTGTTAGGTCATCACATACACTAAAATTATCCAAGTAGTCAGATAGGATGGGATGGATAGATAAGTGGACGAACGCATGGGATATGAAAGATGGGATGTGAAAAACAGGGTGGGTAGAATAGGATGGATGGATGACAAAGATGTACAGAATAGGATGCGATGGGATGGGGTGGGGTGGGGTGGGATAAGAGAGGACACGATAGACAGGATGGATAAAATGAGCTGGATGCATGGGATGGAGGAGAGGGGACAGGTGGGGTACATGGGATGGATGAGATGGGATGGATGGAACAGATGGATTGGAATGGATGAGATGGGATAGATGGATTAGAATGGATAAGACGGAATGAATGGACTACAGGGGATGGGCAGGTGGATGGATGGATGGGTGGCTGGATGGATGGATGAACAGATGGATGGACTGATGGACAGCCCATCCCATACTAGAATGAGACAGTACTGATGAGATGGGCAAGGTGGGAGGGATATGAGCTTCTGGGATAGGAGCTCACTTGGCCCCTGTTCCCAACTACCGAGGGCTCACAATGCTCTAACTGTAACTGCTCTACAATGATTGAGATTGGATGGAGTGGGATGATCAATGAGGTGGATAAGATGGGACAAGTGAATAGGATAGATGAGGTGGTGTAGGGATAGATGAGATAGATGGACTGGAATAGATGAGGTGGGATAGATGGCTTGGGATGGATGAGATGAGATGAATGGAATGAATGGAATGTGTATGATAGATTAGAGTGATGGGTGGGATAAAAAGGATGGATAGGATTGATAAGATGGGATAGGTGAGATGGATGGATGGGTTTAGTGAGATTGGATGGAGGGACAGACCAAAGGAATGGATGAGTTGTATGGATGGGATGAATGAGATGGGATAGGTGGGATGAATGAGATGAGATGGGGTGGGTGAAATAGATGAGTGAGATGGGTAGGATGGATGGATTGGATGGATGAGATGGTTTAATGTGACAGATGGATGAGGTGGGTAGAATGAGTACATGAATCAATGGATGAAATGGATGAGATGGGTAAGATGAATGGGATGGAATGAGATAGATGAAATGGATGAGATGAGATAAAATGGGATGATAGATGGGTAAGATAAATGAGATGGGGTGGGTGGGATAGATGAAAGGTAGGAGTGGATGGGATGGATGAACAGAATAGCTATATGGGACAGATGGGATGGATGGATGGATGGATGGATGGATGGATGGATGGATGGATGGATGGATGGAATGAAATAAGATGGAGTGGATAGATAGATAGATAGATAGATAGATAGATAGATAGATAGATAGATAGACAGATGAGGTAGCGTAGATGGATGAATGGATGAGATAGGATGGATGGGAGAGATGGGTAAGATAAAATAGGTGAAATGAGTAGGTGGGGTGGATGTGACGAGAAGGGAGGGATTAACAGTGTATGATATGGGAAGGATGGATTGGGATGAATGAAACATATAGATAAGATAGATGAGATGGGATAATATGGGATGGATGGATGGAGACAGATGAGACAGATAGATGGGATGGAAATTTGCATGCACAGGATGGATTGATGGGATGGGTGAGATGGGATAAGATGGGATGGAAGGATGGATGCAGGGGTGGATGAATGGATGGATGGATGGATGGATGGACGGACAGATGGATGGAATGAAATGGGATGATGGATCACATGTGCAGATGGGATGGATGGATGAAATGCAGGCAGCAACTGCGTAAGCCTATGGGGCCATCTTCCTAGAAGGGGTTGTACATCCGAGGTGAGTCAGGCTCTGGGAAGTGCCCTTGGTTGTGGGGAGGCGGGCAGGCAGGCACATCCTTCTTACTATACACCTATACACAATGCCCTGTTTCATCAGGAGTAAGCAGCAACCTCAGGAGAAGTCACATCTGTTCCAGGATGTCTTGTGGCAGCATCCCAAGAAGCAACTGCATGTGAGTTATCTCTGATGCCAACCTAGGAAAGAGTTTGGGGAGTTCTGCCCTTTGCAGCTGAAAGCACACACAGCTCTTCAGAAGTGAACCCAGGGAATACCTGTCTGAGTTGTTACCAGAGGGCAGAAAACTGGTAACCCAATACTCACCCCTAACAGAACTGGTTGCCCATGTGCCAAAGAAGATACCAGGCCTGGCTGCTGGGATAGGAGCTCACTTGGCTGCTGCTCCCAACAACAGAGGGCTCAGAGTGCTCAAGCAGCAATGGCGCTAGAGATGGTGCTGCTGCCATCTTGAGCACAGGCAGCCAGACCATGCACCACCTGCTCTACCCAGATCCTCCTTCAGCAACACCTTCAGCCCCATATGTTAACCCCAACTCCTCTAGGTCTGAAGGTGCCTGCTCCAATCGGGCAGTGTGGAAATACGAACATGGCACCTACCTTAATAGTTGTTCTACTGTCTTCCATTTCTTTGCTGAAAGAAACTGTTAATGAGTCCTTGATTGATCAATATTGCATGTCTCTATCTGTTTTCATGAGAAACCACTTTGAAGATATCAATATGTAATACAACAAGCATTGCTAATTTCCTACCACTTTGTTTGTAACTCTGTATTGTCTGTACTGTTCTTTTGCTATTTTGTAAAAGGTTGTCTGTTTGTTAATGTTTTCCTCCTTTTATTTTTAAAATTTAAAAAAAGCAGGCCTGACAAAGAGCAGGACAAAGCTGGAGGTTTCTCTCTACAGGTCTTTATTGTGTGAGAGACAAGCCTGTCTACAGGTTTTGGTCAAAGGGAAAAAAGAAACAATGGATGCTCTGAGAAAGAAAGCAAGGGGAGCTACCTGCCAGACTGGATGGCCAACCTTCCCGAGCAGGCCCAAAGCTATGTCACAGGTTATGTCTAGATGTCTAGATGGTGGTTATGGGCAGGGCTTCTGAGAGGTGGTTAGATCATGGGTGTGTGATACTGGGTTATGGGTACATGATAACTGGAGTAGTCCACTGACTGATTTAGTGTTGTTCTGGTCTGGATGATAGGAAGGCACACCCCAGGCACAGGTGGCACCAACCAATCAGCTTGTAACCTGAGTGAAACAAAGAGGGAAAGGGAGCCTCACTACTTCCACCTCCTGCCTGCTGCGCCATGAATAGTTTCTCCTCCACCATACCCCACTGCCAGGCCACACTGTATTTCAATCAGACAACTTCAGACTGAAACCTCTACAAACTGTGAGCTGAATAAACCTTGCCACCCTTAACTTGTGGGTATCAGGTACTTCTGTCCCAACAGTGAGTAACTAAGATACCTCACCTGCCAGATCTGAAAGGGGTCTGAGCTTGCCCTACACACCCCCAATAGGGAAGTCCCAAACAGCACCATCAGTGAAAGGCGAAATGGCTGGGCAGTACTTGTTGCAGGAGACCTGTGGGCACTGACAAGCTTATAGTCAAGCATGTTGGCAACCCGGCACTAGTTACTAAGTATGCTCAGCTTGACTTAACAGATGAAATCAGGCAGGCACACAAGAGCCAGCAAAGCAGGCAGATACAACAGTTTCAAGAGGTTGGTATCTCTGATTCTCTCTGATTATTTAATTTCTTTTTTTTTTT